AGCAGGACCAGATGCCAGACCAACATGTTATAGTAATCTAACAGAAAACTTAAGACAATTTTAACTAATATGAAAGGCTCCCATGGAACATGTAGACAACATGAATGAACAGAAGGGGAATCACAGCAGAGATATGGCGACCATCAAAAAAGAGTCATGTGGAAATGCTAGAAATTAAAAAAAAAAACACACACAACAGAGATATGAAGAATGCCCTTGACAGACTCATCAGTAAACTCAACACAGCTGAGGAAAGAACCAGTGAGACTGAAGATAGGTCAACAGAGACTACTCAAGCTGAAACAAAAAGAGAAAAAAAGAGTGAAACAAACAAACAAAAAACAGAACAAAATAACCAAGCACTAACATATGAGTGAGTAATTCACATCCCAGGAGAAGAAACAGAGGGGAAAAAATATATGTGTAGATATAATAGCCAATAATTTTCCAAAATAATGAAAGCTATTGAACCGCAGAGCCAAGAAACCCACAGAATCTGAAGAAGATTAAATACACAAACACACACAACAAATAAGCACATGCAAATACAACCTAATATATCACATTCAAACTTGTGAAAGCCAAAGATAAAGAGAAAAATCTTGAAGGAAAAAGACATGCTACCTACAGAGAACAAAGATGACAATTACAGCAGATTTCTCATCAGAAATTTTATGACCAGAAGATAACAGCACGATATCTTTAAAATGCTGGGGCAGGGGGGACTTGTTAACCCAAACTCTATACCTAGCAAAAATATCTTTCAAACATGGAGATACAAACACTTTTTCTGATAAACAAAAACAGAGAAAGTTTATTACCAGCAGACCAGCACTATAAGAAATGGTAAAGGAAGTTCCGTAGGCTGAAGAAATATGCTATCCAAGAGAAACTTGGATGTACATAAAGAAATGAAGATCTCTGGCAATGGATAAAATAAAGGTAAATATAGCAGACATTTTTGTGATTTTTAATCACCTTAAAAGGTAATTGCTTGACTAAAGCAAAAGAGTACAATCCACTGTGGGTTTATTGCATATACAAAAGTAAAATGTATGACAATAATAATAATAAAAATGATGGGCTGGAGGAATTGGAACTATGCTGTCAAAGGATCCTTATGCTATATAAGAAGTGGTATAATATTTGAAGATAGACTGTGATTAACTAAAGACATATATTATAAATTCAAAGGCAACCATGAAGAAAAAATTTTTTTACAAATGTAAGTAATGGCCGGGCGCAGTGGCTCACACCTGTAATCCTAGCACTCTGGGAGGCTGAGGCAGGCGGATCCTTTGAGCTCAGGAGTTTGAGACCAGCCTGAAAAAGAGTGAGACCTCGTCTCTACTAAAAATAGAAAGAAATTGGCCAAACAACTAAAAATAGAAAAAATTAACCGGGCATGGTGGCACATGCCTGTAGTCCCAGCTACTCGGGAGGCTGAGGCAGGAGGATCGCTTGAGCCCAGGAGTTTGAGGTTGCTGTGAGCTAGGCTGATGCCACAGCACTCTAGCCTGGGCAACAGAGTGAGACTCTGTCTCAAAAAAAAAAAAAAATAATAAAAATAAAAATATAAGTAACAAGCCAATAATGGAAGTAAAATGGAATCATAAACATGTTGAAATAGGTAACTATGTGAGATGATATATGTATTGATTTGCTTCACTATGGTAACATTTTACTATCTTGTATGTGTTCCATAACATCATGTTGTATACCTTAAATATATACAATAAAATTTATTTTTAAAAATTAAAAATATATATATAGTAATTTTTTTAAACATTAGGAGGCATCCTCCCTAGGCCTCTTGTGTTCAACATGACTTGCTGAGTATGTCAAGATTGCAAAGCCCTGACCTGTCTTTCACCTGGGCCCTTGCTCAGGATTGTTAATACAGCTGGCAATTTTGAGAGATGAGATAATATCTTTCTCAGACCAAGGCAGGCTTGCTTACTGCTTGCTATAAAGAGTGCTGGGCCTGGGTTCCTCAGCTACAATGCAAACCCACCATGTGTGT